GCTAGGTCTTACGATGATATCTGACATACAGCATAAGCATGAGGATATACAATAGTTTGGACATGCAGATCCATTAAAAAAAAAGACTCTTAATATCCTGCATAAATAGCAGCTTGGAAGGATGTTCACTGAGTCCTGCTAGAAATATCTGCACTTATCAAAGGTACTTATACCTCCTTAATACCTGGCTCATAATGGATCTTAACATAACCACTTATGCCTTTTAATAGATCTGTATCAAATAGACCTGTCTCTACACCGAAGTCYAAGTAAACTGGACAATAATCTGAAGATCTAATTTGCTTCCTTGTTCAAATAGTTTCCTGGTTCTGTAACAATCTAAGGAAGAAAGTAGAGTGGCTTTCTCTAKAGCCAAGAGAGGTGTGTGTTGAGCATGTATTTCTTCAGTACCGTGACTGCAGAAAAAAGTCTTTTTGATACTGAGGAGCAGGAAAACTTTCACTACACCAGCGGTAAGGATCAGAAGACAAAAAAATCCAGATCTTTTTAGGGAAAAAGAGTCTTACACCTTGATCCTATCTCTGAAACACAGTTCAGCAGTTGAGCAGTCATTGCCTGTAGTTGCCCATGAGCAGCCTCCCTTCACGTGAAGGATGCACCAGGAAGACTGACGTGCAATAACCTTAGGATAACCAGCTTYTAGAAACACAAAAGGATGTGCACACATGACAGTGTGTAACTGCAGGTGAACATCATTAGCAGCACCTCATACAAGCTGATTAAAGCAGCCACTATCACAGGTGCCAAATGCAGAGCTGAAATATCAAAGCCCAAGGCAGGTGATAGACACTTGTGTTACAACGTGATGACAACCACACTCTGAACAGCTGCTAAGATACTTGACAACAGGGAGACTTCCAGGCGTCCATGGATATGGGATCAATAACAYAGCACGTGAGCAAAGTATTTGGAGGTCGTAAATTTTGCTGCTTTTTATTATTTCAATTTAAAAGCAGTAATAGAAGACACACAAAAAAGTATACCTCGTGAATACCTGAAAATGCTCTGTAGTTCAGGCCATTAAAAGACTGTATTTCATTTGACTGAGAAGTTGGTTTAAATTCATTCTGGAAGAGCATTCAGTAATGCAGTCATATCAACGTGATAGATACAGACAGAAGTTCTGCATTAAATAATGAATGAGACGCATAAAGACATGACTCTCATAGGCAATAAAAGCCTAGATTATGGTAGGCYGTAATGGTAGACCGTAAATTTCCCTAACACCAGAAATCTGCATGAAACATAACAATTTATCTTTTAGAAAATACTGCTTTTATAACTAGCATGCTGATAAATAATTGAAAAGTTACTTCTCTTTATTCCCAGAAAAATCTATGCTACGCATTTTYTCTCTCGCCTTACCCAACCTATGGAATGCAGATCACAGATGGAATTTATGATCTTCTGTAGTTAAAGTTCCCTAATGCTGCCAGGAGCTCTACACAAAAAGCTGGGTAGTCAGTACCTCTGGCCTTTCTCCGAGCCATTAAAGCCTCTTCTGCAGGCAGCAAACACAGGCCATTAGAGGGAAAGAAGAAATATAATTTACTTGTACATCTGGGAAAAAAACTGGGAGATATTACCCAGTTCCTTTCAAAATGAGTGATGTCTGCAGACAATCCTTTTTATATATCCAACACATCCTTGTAGAAGCTCCCCAGAAGGGAGTCATCAACTGCRACAGAAGATTTTTAGGTTTAGACTAAAAATCTAAACATTCTCTCACTTCAGAGGAGAGGAAAAAAAAATAGTTTTCCAGATGTTTCTGAATATTAAACTAAGTTTAATTTTGCCTCATTCTGCTAAAACTGAAAACAACAGCTTTCAAAGACGTCAGTATTGAAAAGCTGAAGCACGTGTGTGTGTGTGTGTGTGTGTGTGTGCAGTTGTAACAACCCATGAGCAGCAAAGCAGCAGCAAGTGAAAGCTCTTGAATACAGACAGATTATGTAGAATATGAACTGAGTTCTCTGGAGGCTGTGGAGACCAGCAGATTAGACATCTCACATGATAGGTGAGAGTTTAGACCTTAAAGCCTTACAGGGAAATTACTGCAAGGTAGTTATGAACACTGTATTAGAGCAGGGAAAAAAGACTGAATTTATAAAATGTGAAACCTTAAGAACTGCCCAGACAAACAGGACAAGGGACGAGTGAACAGCCTGGACTGTAAAGCCACTCTCTCAGACTGCACAAACCATATCTAGATTATTTAAATATTTAGACAAAGTCATAATAAGCATCTACAATGTGATACTGCAACCCACAGATTCGTGTCTGCTGAAATTAAGTTTTCTCCTCTTATAGATAAACTGAAGATATACAGGTCCTACTGCTATAATCTATGCATACAGCAAAAGGAAGGAAAGTTGKTTTTTTTAAACTATTCTCAGGCAACATTAACAACCAACCAACCAAGCTCCTCTCCACTACCCCCCAAAACACCTCCCAGCCCCTGTTGCCATCCTCAGTTATCTAGGCATTTCTGACAGCTTTTAATAATTTCCACTGCCAGCCTTGCAGCCCAGCGTGAACCCTGTAACTGAATAAAGCCAAGCGTTAAATAGAAAAACAAGAAGTCACTCTTCATGTGTATAAATAGGCATTTTGTGCATACAAATAAAAAAGTCGCCCTTGTTCTTTTGCAGTCCCTGCTGTGTGGGTATCCTACGCTCAGGGATGGCTATCTTGAATGAGCAGCTGGCAAGGAAGTTACAAGGATGTGCTTATTAACTTAACCATACACTGTTGGCAAGATTTTTCTTGTAAGGAAAATTTCTGCAAAGAAAGGTAAGAAGAAATGCATCTCTGTACATTCTGTTAAATGCAGGCAGAGAATTCCAAGTTTTCACAGTAAAATTTCTTTTAGTTAAAAGGATGAGTTTAAGAACAAATCCACACACTCAACTTAAACCTACAGCTGAGAGACTGCAGAAAATGGCATAAAAAGTTTAAAACCTGCATGAAGGGCCTCCAGTTACTTCCATAACTCCCATATTAAAGCAGCTTTACAAACATTATCACAAAAAAGTAACCAAGCAATGCGAGCTTTCATCTGCATATGCACCAAACAGCGCACATCCCACGGTGCTCRTGTAAACGCAGATACAGGGGCAGGCAGCAGGACGTCCTGCGCGGCTTCCAGGCGCTGCTCCCGAAGGTCTCCTGCAGATCTCGGGTTGTACCTGCCAGTCCTGCRTGGATTTTGACGGGTGCAGTAGAGCATCTCAAGCAACACTGAATCCCTGTGTACTCACATCGGAATATCATTTGGGTATCATGCGGAATATCATCGGGGTATTATTGATACTCAAATATGAGTCACGACTGGCTTGGGAAAACACTATTTAATTTTTAACCTTCACCCACGTACCTGAGCGTGACCCAAAGTCACTACTTCCATGCAATTGAAGACCATGGATGTGGACTTCCCAACTACAAATATGGCAGGATATGAACTGTTTGTAAGACCAGCAGAGTGTATATTAATCACAAACTGCTGTTTATGATTCAAGTAAAGAATGAGCGCTACCAAATTGTACAGGGATACCTGCAGCTTTTTCTTCAGGTGTTGGACTTACTCCTTGGTTGGTCTCTCTCCTATGTCAATGCTATCAGCATCCTCATCCCCTTCGCTTCCCTCCTCTGTCTCCCAAAGTGGAAATCCAAAAAAATCCACTGGGTAATTCACAGGTGTGTCTTACAGTAAGGTGTCTTTTTTTGAGAAAATAAAAGCCAAGGTGGAATTGTATTTGAAAACACTCCTCTATCTCACAAACTCATGACTTAATATCTAATTCCAAAGATGCACAGCACATTGAAAACTTAAAAGCTACACAATGATTCCCACAACAAAAGATCTAGTAAAACATGTGAGGCAGTGTGTGCCAACACACCCATCCCTCCACGGCTCGGGGAGCGCAGGAAATTCCAGATACTTTTTTAGTACTGCTGTACTGCAAAACACAAAAAGCAGCTGCCTGAGCATGGGGGCTCTACAAAGGATACAGTACTTACCTTCAGAGAACATACTTTATTTAACAGAAGTTTTTGCTCCAATATACAAAATAGGGGACTGCAGTCCCGACTGACATTTACAAGGTTACACAGCAAGTAGTTTCCACCATTTACAACAATTGACGACCCTTCCACACTTTCCGCTGTATTATAACCAAGAAATAATTCTGTACCACTTTTCATACCAATCAGTTATAACTGCTTTTTTCCCCCCCAACTCTTTTTAAAAGTTGCAGTTTGTGATAACAGTTTAATCAAAAAGTTACTGTTATCTCAGCTGCCCTGGAAGTGAAATGAAATAAATCATTTGGAATTCTATTTCAAAATCCATATACAAAAGAAAAGTCAGTATTTTATAAAAAATACATTATGGGAGTAAAACAAAATACCTTGTAGCTACCAGTGGGGGAAAAAAAAAAGGTGTTTTAAATATTGTTATGGTATAAAATACTTAGCTACTCAGCTCAGCTTTGAACTATATCAAAAAAAAGGAAGGAAAAAGTGTGACAATTCTTTTACAATACTGTACCTTTAGTATGCAAAGGACTTCATCCTTCTAACATGCACCAGTATCCCAGTATCCAACTGCTTCACCCTTTGACCCTTTTTCCACTGAAAGCTGAAAAAAGGTTTTAAAATCATTGGAACCCTTTAAATCTAATCGGTTATATTTGTATGCATCTCCTACAGTATTCAAGTTTTTCTTTAAAATGCTGGTAGTTTAATTAGATACATAATTTATATAAAAGAAATATAACCAAGCCAGAGCTTTAGAAATTTTGCATTTTATAAAAGCAATTTGTTACAGTATGACAGTTGTTAAATAGCCCAATTTATTTAGTGACCCTGTTAAAGGTTTGTTCAGCTGAGTGTGTAGGTGAAGTCATTTCCTGAGCTAAAAGATACAGGTAAGTAGTTATAGCAGCAGCAAAGAGACATTCTTTAAAAAACTTTAAACAGCATCAATAAAATAACCTCAGAAAACTACCATAATGAAAAAACGACTAGCTGAAAAGGAGTGACCAGGACATCCAACGCCTGACTGCCATAACCTGGAATGCGTATCCCGTGAGTCTCCAGAAATTACATTCAGCTACTGTCAGACAAACATTACTGGTAACTGGAAGAATGTTCAAGGACAGCAATTCACATTTATTACATATCGGCTGTTGGATCAGGATTTAATTCTTAATGCTCTTTCATAAACCTAAAGCAAGGTAAACTGKTTAGTTTCAGAAAAATTCACCCTACAGGACCTAAGTATGGTTAACACTTTTAAAGGAATGTGGTATATTCAGGTTCATGAAATCCAAGCTTTTATTATTATTATTTTATTACTCAGACGTATTTCACATTTGAGGCCTTGAGGTTTTTTAAGATAGTCACCACGGCCACTGCCTGAAGTGGATCCATTTTAAAGAGAGGGAAAAATATTCTGTAAACTCTTTACTTTGATCCAGGTCATTCTAATTTACTTAAGAATATGAATGATTAACAAATAATTAAAGAACTATAAAGACCAGTTTACCACCACTGCACCATCATTTAATGCACAGAGAAAWATTCTGATTGAATTAAATAAAATAGCACACTTAGATACCAGTTGCTCCAGAAGGAATTCTCTCTTCTATGTCATTCATTTTTAAAGACATAGTAGGTATTGTTTTTAGAATTTATATTGGCTGTGTTTCAAACTCTTGAAGATACTTAGTTTTAATTCAAATCAATATATAAAAAGTCCAATACTTGTTAGAATAAAGGACAACACACAGGATCCTAAGAAGTTACAATAATTTATAAATAGAAATAAACTATTACAAACCAAATCTTTCCCCATACGGAGATTAAAAGCCATAATCTTGACTGATTGTTCCCGATCATATATTATAAATAACGTAAGCTTCTTCAGAGAAGCAAAACATACTTTGCCTCCCTGACACCAGTTCATATTTTCAGATAAACTACTACCATCAAGAAGGCAACTGTGTTGGGCCCAAATAWAACTTCTTGCTTACATACTAACCCTCCCAACCTCATTCTTTCAGACTTAAGTACAGGAAACCAAGTTCACAAAGAATCCTTTACCTTTTATACAAGAAGTCTGTATAAAATATCAGATTTYTAATACTCCTATTGCACTAATCTGGCAGTGCAGTTAGAATCTGATTCAAATTCCACTGAAGTCCATGAAAAGTCCTCCAGTGACGTTAATGGGGTTTGAATTAGGACCACAGAGATAGGATCAGCTATTGAAAGCTCCTGCGAGAGTGGCTGGTATCTCTTTTTGCTTATGGGATGCAGTGGAGATGTGTAGTCAACATGATACCTGAGCAAATAAAATGCAAATGATATGAAGGTTTTAAAAACAAATCTCAAATTCTTTGCTTAATTGTGTGCAAACTGTGCTACTGCCCCTGGAGCTTCCTGCATTCCTTTCTTCAGCGCTTGCTCCGTTCCATGATGGTTAGAGAAGAAGCGAGGCATAGAAACCACTTGGCTCCAGCTCCCCCTCAGTCCCGGGACTGATAGAAGAGGATGTAACCAGACTCTGAGTTCTTGGAGATGTCTGATGTCAACCCGTAGAATTCTTCAATAGCTTGTGCATCAATTTTCTGTAGGCAAAAAGCCCAAAATTTAAAGTAAGAATATCTGGTATAACACATACATAAAAACTATATCAACACAATCATCACAATTGTACAACACAAATCAACGTATCAACATAAAAACATATCAACAAAAACAACTTTCACTTCTTTAAGCAATAAAACCCAAGTAATCCTTAAATCTTTTATGCTTTAGGTCCTCCTCCTCAACTGTACAGATGGCATATTTATGTTTTTAGTATTACGTAACCCTGTTATGAATGTATGAAAGAAGGCACCAGAAGGTGCAGCTCTGCACTCAGTTACCACTCATTTACACTGTGGTTGAAGCTCCTCTCACTGCCCCACCAGTCCCCTCCCTTTAAGGAATCACACACACCCGGGGGATGCATGTGCTCTGGTTAGTGGTGCTGGGGCAGAAAGGCCAGGGTTACAACGCTTACCTCTACGATATCATCATCAAAAAGCAACCAAAAATCATGACTCTTCACTATTGCAATATAATGTCCTCTATTAGGGCCACTGTAAAATAAAATAAAAGCATAAGTCACAACACATATGTATGTACAAATGTATTTCATTAAAGTGTTCTTTATGGTAGAAAAGCAACATTTAGCAGTAACTAAAATAGATACCAGTATGGTTTCTGTTTGCATGTTTCTTTTCCTCTGTTTCCTCCCCCCCCCCACGTAAATGATCTTCATAGGAAAGTCTTACCTATCACTAAATGTAATATTGGGCTTTAAAAGGGGCAATTTCAAATGAGGAATGAGCAGCACATAGGTACTGAAAGCATAAATGAAGTTTACAACAAAAGCAAAGAATGAGTGAAAGAGGGAAAAGGAAAATCAAGAAAACATTATGGTGCTACAAAAATATGGACTAAATTCATAGAATCATAGAATGCTTAGGGTTAAAAGGGACATCAGAGGTCATCTAGTTCAACCCCAAATTCCAAGCCATTTCTTATTCTTGTGAAGAAAAAAACATGCAGAGCTGCTGTTCATCTACAGTCTCAATCAGGAATCACTAAAACTGATGCACAAACAAGCAAAACCAACTCTGCTATAAAGGAAAACTGAAGTAAACCGACAGCTCAGAAGACTGCAGAAGACTGAGCTTATGAGCTCAGTCTTATGAGTTTACAGCCCTTATGTCTAGTTTGGGGAGGGAAGGCTACCATATGTGAGCAACATCTATGTGCACTTGTCCATTTTGAGGGATCTCAAAAAGCTGGAAGAACAGTGTGACTGGTCGTAAGGAATGTGAACGGTCATGAAGTTCAATGAATGTAAAGTCTTATACTGCAGTAAATCCATGCAACCACACAGGCTGCAAACCTAGTGACTTGATAGCAGCCCTGAAGAAAAGGACCTGTGGTCCCAGTCATCAGAAGAGGAAAACAGGAAAGGGGTTAAAGAAAACAGCCAGACAGAGCTCAGAAATGCACATGGAAAGGATGAGAGGAAGAGGTTACAWCTGATATAGGAAAAATAAAGGAAATAAGGGAAAAAAAGTCCTCYGTGAGAATGGTGATGGACTGAAACCCACAGGCCACAGAGGTAGGGAAATCTCCTTTCCTAGTCAGTTCTGAAACTTGTCTGGGCCAAATCCTGTACAACCTAATCTACTGTCAAGTTAGTTGTGCTTTGAGGCTGAAGTAATTGACCTTCCAAAGTAAATGATTTGAGATGTTAGATCATTTTCCACTTAACTTTTTTTTTAATCTACTCAGTAAGTAGTTTATACTGCAGCATTGATTATTAAAACAMTGAAAAGATTTGTTGAAAATAAAAAATCTAATACAAATCTAACAGTGATACTTCGTAAGCAAGAAAAAAAACCCTATTCAACAAAAGACTCACTGAAGAAAAGTAAAAGAAAAATATTAAAGGATATGCTTTACAAAGGAACATCTGTCCTACAATGTTTTACTTCCTAGCAGCTTTCTGGTTTTAAGAGAGTTATAAATGATGTTAAGAGAAACTTCTTTTTTTTTTTTTTTAATGTAGTTAGAGCTCCTACAACGATTCTTTATGTGAAATAAACTCTTCTTACCTTCCACAATGAACTACCACAGCAACAAGGTCATACATTCTGTCAGGATTGGTGGCGTCTCCTGAGGTGTTAAATAAACGAAGCTCTAAAGGAAAAACTACTCTATAAGAGAGCTTTGTGTAACGATGCAGCTGATCCATGTATTTAAATCTCTTCAAGTGGAGTGCTAGAATCATAGGCAGCTTTTTTACTTTCATTCTGAAATTAAAAAAAAAAAATCTGATATTTCCAATATCCAGAGAAAGCGCTGATGTTGGTAAACAGAAAGCTCACCTACTAAATGCTAAAAAATCTGCAAGGATTAAAAAAGATGCTTATCAGCTATTTAACAAATACTGAACATGTCCTATGCTGCAAAGCTAACAGTTGTTTGTTGTATTGCTTAAACTAAGAGTAGATTTTAACAATTCAGAGAACTGCAAACGTAGTTAGAAAATAAGTTAAAAATAGTTGTGATCAATGTACTCAGTAAGTTAGGAATTACAGCTACCTAGCAGAGAATTCAATTTTTAAGCATACATCCCCTTTGCTTTCCCAAGGTCCCCAAAGCAAAACCAACCTCCCCCTTGCTTTGCAGCAGAGCTATTGCCACCACGTTGTTTCAGAGTTCCAGTTCCATTTGAACTTCCTAGCAAAGAGGCCAAGTCAAACAAGCATTGTAAAATAAGCAACACCATTCTGCTACGTATATTACTGCAAGTTTTTATATCAAACCATTAATTTAATATTGCTAAGGGATACAAACAGCATTCTGTTATCAAAACAAGAAAATATTAGGCTCCAGCACAGCAGCCCTCTACGTATGTTGGAGTATTATTTTATGGAAGTAATAACCAGAAAGACCTGGAGCTAGAAGATCTAGTTTTACTGAGGGCTCATCAGTTCCTTTCCCTAATTTGAGACACTGAGATGACACCTCAGGGCCTAAAAGCCCCCAAGTCTCAACAACACAGTCCAGTGAAGGGCTCAGATGTACACTAAGCCCATACAAGRTGGGCTGCATGTCTGCATGGCAATGCTTTTTCAAGAGCTTGGCTGCTGGGGGTAAAATCCTTGGAAACTCCCTTTCTTTCCTTTCCCCTCATTAAATGTACAGTGATTGTAACATGTAAGAAGCCCTATTAGATTCAAGTTTTCTTTTGCTGGTGAAGAAACCCACATACTACTCCTGCTAGTCAAGCAGATGCTATCACAGAAAAACTTCATATTACAGAAATGGCAGCAAATCATAAACAGAGTGTAACTCAACCTGAACACCGGATGAAAAAGAAATTATAAGCAATAAAGGCTGTGTTTGATCAATGAAGCAGCTCCTACAGTACAGGTTTATGCCAACAAAACTTATAATACTGCGTGGGAGGTAATGTGATCCCCAACCAAAAGAGCTAAGCCAACAGGAAACAACAGGCAGACCTGACCTTGCAGCTCTCCCCAGCTTAGGTAATGTGTCAAGGTGGACTTTGTGGGAGAGACATGCCAAAAGCCACACGTTTAATCCATGGGAAACGACATATGTGAAATCAGTGGCACACCCAGTACAGCATGTCAACATTCCCATCCCTTCAACTCAACCATAAGCAAACAAATACCTCCTCAGATGAGAAATACAGCAGGGCACAGAAAATCAGTGCTTGTAAACAAGAGGAGCAGTATTAGACATACAAGAAATGTGTGGAAAAAAATGTGTCAGGCTTCCATGGAGCTGCTGCTGCTTTCAGATTGCTTTTCAAGGAAAAGTTTAGCACACCTACTTAGGCAYTTTCAAGATATCAAACACTCAGTCATGGTAAATGTAACAATATGAACTGCATTCTGACTGGATCAGGAAAAAAAAGCAGTATGAAACAGTCTCATAGCAAGTGCTTAAAGCAATCTCCTTTAATCTGTTTAGTCTATCAGCTTTTCTTACCAAATTTCTGTGAAATCGCTTTTATATCAGAGAAAAACAAATTTTAAAAAGACCCATGAAATCACTGCTTTTGCATCATTTCCCATAATCTTTGATTAGCTACTGCTATTTTTTGTGCTGTTCTTTTTATCTTGTTTGGGGCCTTAAGACCATTATATTTTTTCCTTAAAATAAAACATAATCAAAGGCTTCCCAAAATGCTTTACATACATTTTAATTAATCCTGCAAGCAGGCTCATTGAATTCAAGCACAACCAACGCTATCAAGTTACTCTTTAGCAGAAGAATGGGGACAATTAAGGGACAAAGAACCYTCCCTCTTCCCTGCTCAAAACACACCCACACAAGAAAATGCAAGAATTATTTTAAGGAGGGAGATTTTCCAGTTTGATGTACCTTTTATGTGCTTCTTGCTTACTGCGACACTCTTCACAGTAATATTTGTATTCACTGCACAGAGTTTCTGTATTGCTGAAACCCCTAAGCGGAGAAAAAAATACAAGAAAAGCTAGAGATACTAGGTTCTTATCCAAAACATACTACCATTTGAAAAAAGATATAAACATAATTTTTACATTCTGGACTATATAAGCCAAAACAAGAGCTTTTATTTTTACTTGTTGCTTTCATCTGGTAAAAGACCAATTAAGAAAGTTCAGATTTCTGTATCTACCTTAAACARTGAGTGATGGAAGTATTTTGCTCCACATCGACTGAAAGGTCTAAGAAGTCTTCATCTTTGCTGCTTATCTGCAGGAAAAAAAGGTCCAATAGTTGACATATTAAACTAGTTATATTGATTTACCTCAGTTTTTCAGCAGCACTTACTTCTGAGCAAGTAGTAATCCTTTTCCTTAGAATAGCCTTCAAACAAATTGTCACAAGTAGCTTTGTATTTATTAAGATTGCTAGATCTCTAAAATTTTGTTTGGAAATAGGAGGATGGAATAGAAATGTGTTTGTGGAGAGAATATAATCCCACTTCTGATTTTATTTGCAATTTCAACTCATTAAGGTCAAGTCCCTTCTCTACCTCACTCTTCTGAAAGAATTCTGATCACTGGGACTCTTCTCTGTTGAGCTCTCACCCCTGCTCTTCCCCCATCTTTCCCTCTTACCAGAAGAAATGTATTTGCCTACGAAGTATCCTTAAAACATAGCCAGAATTAGGCTTCAGAACATGAGTGCTAGAATCATCACGCCCTTAAACAAGCAACAGAGAGCAAATTTGTCAGTAACTGAGAGCCGGGAACTTGGTCAATCAATTTTCCAAAAGAAAAATTTTCCAAAAGAAAACCCTAGAGGCAAAGGAGAACTTCCAAAGATGCCTGTCTGCAGTTTTTTGATGGAAAGGGCAGAAATGAAACAGCTGCTACAGGAAAATGAAATGTAAGTTCATTTTTAAGACATAGGAGATTTAAGTTTCCTTTTCAACTTAAAATAAAGACATTATTTGAAACACCGTTCTTTGCTTATGGAGAGGTTAAAAGCATGCACTTACTAAAGGAAGCATTCACAGGGAAAAAACAATAAAGGATGTTCAGACAACTACTTTTGGAATTATCATTATTGGGCAAATCCAAAAATTTAGAAAAGTTTCTGCTAACTTCTGTAATCAGACTAGGGAAAGATGTCTCCCCCTCTTCTGCAGCTAACTTGGCAGATTATGTGTACAGAAAACACGCCAGAAGCCCAGCACACACCACTGCTCGATACCTTTGATCTAAGGCCACTTTCGTTTTTTTGGTTCAAGCACTCCCAACGTTTAGCTATTTCAATTATTCAGATTTAATTTTAATCAAGTCAATGACATAATTGTCTCGTTTACTACTAGTCTTTCCTTAAATCCTGAGGGAAAACTTTATAAAACCAGTAAATTGCTGGRTAACTTCTTTTTTTGTTAGCCACAAAGTCACATTACTTCATGACTCTGCCTTTCTATGAGGGCAAGGGAAGGCCCCATAGCAGAGAATCCCACTWACAGCAGGTAAAGACAACTTGTCCTTTCCATTTCAAAACTTACATTATAGCGTAGCTTGATCCAAGACATAAATCTTTGGTAAAGGACCATTTCTACCTTCTTTACACTCCACCCTCCATATTCAGATTTTAAATGGAAGATGAATCTTTAAATATTCTATATAAAGTTTTTGGATCAAAGAAAGACTAATGAGATGGTGTGTCTTGGAAAGAAGGTCTTTTCCCTCTTAAGGTCCATAATCAGGATAATATAAAGCACAATAAAATCTTGCTGCGCTGAATTTAATAAGAGCAGGTAGTTTGGGTCAGTTAAAAGATGATTACTTGCACTTAGAGAAAAGACATATTGTATTCTATATATAAGTATTAYTTTCCATACTATTTTCAAAATATATTAAGCCTTATAATCCATTTAGACCAAAAATATACAAGTTATTGACATTTTGACTAATTTGACTAATTCACCCTTTATTGCTGTTCAATCCTCTGTATTAGCTATATTGAAGTTCTCCTGAGAGTTTAAGTTACATCTCTAAACATTGAAAGACTCTAAATATCAGCAGCTTCCAGTAAACATTAAAATAATCATATATGCTATATTTGAAAGCAAAACACTTCACAGTAAAATTATTCATTTAATGCATCTAAACGTGTGTGTTGAAGTGCCTGTTTTCACACAGCTGGTTTCTGAATACATAGAAGTTGATATAGTGAATAGACTGAAGCTGATGAATTAGTTTCAGGATTGTTAAGGCTCAAAATATAAAGGCCCAACATATAATTGAAAAATAATGCCCATTAGAACATTGTGGCTTTAAAATGCAACTGGCCAAGGAGGCACAGCTAAAAACTGACAGTGCGAATCTTGTTCCGCAACAGTTGAAAGAAAATCATAATATTGCAAATAGAGCAACATTATTAAAAGACAAAATTAGGATAGGTCTGATAACTTTAAAAATGCTCTTAAGGAGCATGCCAGCATTTTGAAATTGCATTAAGGACTGCACCTAGATCAAAAGTCCGATAGCAATAATTCACTTTGACGTAACAAGGATAAGCAATGATCGCAGACTAAGCTAAATTCATATTTCAAGAAGAAAACAAAACAAAAGATTCACTTCAAGAGCTAAAAAGAGAAGTAAATGACAGTTGCTATAAAGTAATTATTAAGGAGGGGGAGGAAAATCTACCAGAGGGAAAAAAATAGATGATAGTTAGAAATTGGAACCTAAAATACAGTAGTTGAGTTGAAGTCTACAGTTGCATTACCTACAACATTAAAAAGCTCTTTTATTTAACATAAAGGAAGGGAGATTTCTCTACATCAGAGAAAAAGACATCTGAAATATACAGATTTATTCTGACTAATTTGACATTTTCAACATCACACTGAAATATGTGTGAATATGCGTGAATATGTTACCTAATTTTGTTAAGAAAATAGATATGAAGAACCATACACAAAGTAGAGTCATTTAGCTTTCCACACTATCTAAAGCATGCACGACAAGGCAAATACTGTAATTTTCAGATTGTGCTGCTTTTTATCTTTATCAAGCAGGTAAAATTCAATTATAAGTTTTTCTGAAATACATGCTTTTTCTTATCGTGCAACTCTCTTCAAAGAAAATTTTAGGATTGCTATTTTTCAAAATGGGCTTTTATTTCTTAGGTTATAGCAATATAAGAACTCCTGCAGAGAGAAGTCTAAGAATTACTTTTGGTAAATCAAAACTACATTCTTTGAATGACAAAGAAGAAAACCCCACAAATGTTCACACAAACGTAAGATTTCCAAAGGAAAAAAAAAAATCAGTGTAATATATTAGTTTGCTAAGAAAACATGAAGAATTTGTTTGTAATTACAGAGTAAATGAATACTTACAGTTTCACATGTAAGACATCTGGTTTCATTCGTTAAGGTTCCCTGAAATATTTCATGAACCCAGGTTGGGTCTGGAGGGCTGTTATTTTCATTGTCGATGCTGCCGTTAGGAAGGCGACCATTTTGTTTCTCCTGTTTTCTTTCCTCTTGCAAGATATCCGCAATCGTATTTAATAAATAGTTTAAGAATTCATGCGCATCCTGCTGCATGTAGTTATCAAAAAGTTCTACAAAACACAGAACACAGATTTTAAATTACTTTGTTAGTGCTATAATACAAAAAGACTTTCAAAAACAATCAGTCTATTTCAGGCCTTGCATCATACACAGCATCCAACACCATCCTACGAGGAGCCCTTCACAAACTAAGAAAAAAYGCGGAATGAGAGGGGAAAAAACAGCTCATATTTACAGCAATATCTCAACTAGGGCATGATTCAACTGCCTAAATAAATATAGGTGTATACACAGTGCTATCTGACAGGTCTAGCTTATCCAGCCCTGCCTCCAGATGCCAGTCCCTACTAAGCTGGATCCTACGAGTGCCATGCCAGCCAAGCCTTGGTCAATCTCTTGGACAGTACAGGGCATCTCAAATGGAGGTAGAAATAGGTAACACCTCTGTTACTGCTGGTCTCCACTAGGCTGGCTCCACCGTGCTTTCTGCTTGATGTCCTCAGCTAGCGACATTTCTAAGCCTAACACTTATTGATTCAGCTGAAGTGGAACCATTTCAGTGGCAGGTACTTGCAACGTTCAGCAATGCCACAGATTCAAGTACTACAATTAATCTCTCATTCTCATAAATCTACTTCCTCGCTTAGGTTCAAAATGTCATAATCTGAAAACATTGTCTACTATAGTCCTTCAAGATACCACTTTGACATGCCTCTTGCCTCCATGGATTCACTACAGGAGTGGATTAAGAAAAGTATTAAGGGTATAAACCAGATTTGGTAACAGCAATTTGTTCTCTCTTCTGGAGCAGGAGCTGACACAAGGAAATTAAGAGACTTGCCTTCAGTAAGGGGTTACTTCCCAGCACTGTAAAGATGAGTGGAAAAAAAAAMCACAGTGAAGCCTAATTTTTGAAGTGTATATTGGGACTGCATGGAAGCTTTATTTCTGCGATAATAGGAGTAAAATGATAATTTACTTGATGCAATTTGGGGATATTCTTCTTCAAAATAGAAAAAATAAATCCCAAATACCTGAGATGGGAGAATTCAATACTAATCTATATCGCCTGGAGAAGTTACATAATGCAACAAGTCAAGTAGCCTATTGAAGGAACAGCTACATTGCTTCTGAGAGGTAACAGGCTAATGCTGAATCTAACCAGCTGTTATATCCCCATTTAACTGAATAAATGAAACAAGAGCTACAAGTGCCTTGAGGTAAAACACTTCAGAAATTCTTCAGGACTAGGTGCCCAGGAAGTGAACTGACATGAAGTACAACAGAGTAATTCCACACATGACCTCCCTGTTGTTTATTTTAGAAGTAAAAGAGTTTTAAGCAGTCATGGTTGTATGCCTTGAGCTGACTTAAAGCTGCATTGTAGCAGCCTGGGCTTTAAGATCATTAATGATCATTACAGAATAGCAGGACTGTGGCGTGGAACACATGAAGATTAGCCAGTCTGGCTGGATTCTGAGCAGTGTGGAATCTAGATTTGGCACTGAATACCCATCCGATTTCTTTTGTAACTTAACACTTATTTACAGCACAAAATTACATATCTTCATGATAAACACTTAATAACATATATAATGTTTATACTTAAGAATTTAGCCATTTACTTCTGCAAGAAGTTAGATTTTCATCACTAAAATAGATCTAAAATGTCAACGACAACTGAACTTTCACATCTGATCTCCAAACATAACATAGTTTCCCAACCACATTTTCCTGCCTAGAACTCTAGTCTTGGGAGATAGTTAAGCACTATTATTCTTTTTTTTTTGCTCAAAAAAGAAAAATGGCTCCTGTATTTTACTTTCAACTTGCCATTTGAAATGACTCCAACTCTGGCTGAGGTTAGTAACATTTAATATGATTAATTTATTCTGTAAATACATCAAAATGCAACTATATTTACTGAATGAAAGATTTCTAATCTGCATAGGTAAGGAAATGCAGAATCAAATGAAAGCTTTCTTAACATTGCTAATGTCACTGATGAGTACTCATGGAGTGTATTTTATGGGGGGATCACTTAATATTAGGTATATTATTGTAATATTTTATTGTTTGTTTCTACTTATAAAGTCACCCATTTTTTTTGGTCTGAATATAGGGTCTCAGAGGGGTTACAACAGCATAAACATTTTTTATTGCAGCAATGGTAAATAAGCCACCTCATACTATTTATTTAAAGCAAATAGCTACTTTTTCGTAAAATCTTGTGTTATAATTTATTTCAAAAATACCCAAATCAAGTAGCAGATTACAGGTTTTCATTTGAATTTTAAAACAGAATTATTTTCTAACATACTTGAATCAATAAATACTTATCAATACTTATCAATAAATAAACAGTAAAAATCTGTGGAACTCTAGAAACCTGAGATATCCATAACACTAAGAAAGTTAATTGAAACCACTTTCTGCTTTTAGAGTACATTATTTAAGAAAAAACAAACAAAAAAAAAAAAGTTGGTCAAATTAAGTATTACCTAAATCCTCATTAAATTAAACAAAAAGATGTTTGTTTTTAACAGCTATATTCTTACACAGACATCAAATTGTCCTTTCCACACACAGTTTGGGAAACTAATATCTACATTTAAAAAATAGTGGTTTTTTTCTTAAATACAAAAGCATTAGAGAGAATTTTGATTATAAAAGTACAGGTCTTACAGGGGCAAAATTAACAAGCAATTTTCGCTATGTGAAGCGAGATGAAAATTCTCCTTCAAAATGGCTCCAAATGGTTTACATCCTTCCTCTAGGGCCAACTCTTCCTTTTATTGCAGCACCAAAAACACTCATGCTTAGCAAACACATAGATGATTTGTTAAATCACAACTGATATCACGTGGAAAAAAAAGAAAAATATTACCATTTTCTTTTCGTAATCTTGTTATAAATTTCTTGGGAGGTATTACTCCAACTTTTTTCTTCTGGGTGGCTATACTGTGGAAGAGATCAGCTAAGCACGTAAGGAGATTCTCTTTTTTTCTTGGTTGACTCTTGTATGCTAGGACTTTGTCTCGAAATGGGCGACAGAAATAAAGTGCCTGAAGAACTGAATTGCAGTAGCATGTATTCCCAAACTATAAAACAAGAGAGAGATGTATTAGCCCGCATTCTATTGCTGTTCTGGGGAAATATTAAATCTGAAGTATAAGCACGTGTATAAGCAGGGACAAATTTTTCTGCAAGTCTTCTTGACATTAAGAAAGTAAATCATATTCCTGTTTGTAAAGGACAAGCATACTTTAAGTAGACGAAATACCCTGCTAAATTCAAATAACTTTTTTTTTCTTACTTGTAAATTGAATTTATTACTAATATCTGACAGTAACACATATCAAAATATTCAGCAAATACCAAAATTTTGCAGTTCCTAAAATACATCCAGAATTACCCAGAAAAGTAAATTTACTTATTGATCTACCATGTCAGTCATAACAGTAAAGAACAGGAACAGCATGACCTTGTAGCGTCAAGAAGCRTCTCAGCTATAAATTACGATACCTTTTCAGACGTTTCAGAAATTGGATTGGCCAAATCTTATTAGTTGCAATCAGAGTCAGAGTTAACTGCTTTACCCTGTCCTTACAGCRACAATTCCACTCCAGGGTGACGGGATTCACATTCAAGAAATTTCTTAAATCACTGAAATATCATTAGTTTAGGATTCAGAGCTACGATACACACAGTAATCTCCAAATTGAGACTGAAAGCCAAAGAACACGCAATCTGGACATGCGTAGTTTGAGGGAGGCAGAAATTTCCTTTTCCTGAATGGAAAGGAGGGAAGAGTCTACTAAAAAAAGGCACCTGTAAGCCATTTTGTACCAGGACGCTCCACGTGTTCCTCTCCCCCMGGCTCCTTCCAGCTGTTAGGTCTCCTTCCCTCTGCTCCACTCCTTTGATTGTGGACAATCTCTAGCTCTCCCCAGCCCTAGAGACTTCCACACTACCTTGGTGAAAGCACCAAGTGGCCAGGAGATGCAGTTCCTGCCCTTTCCCACTGCTCTCCTGAGGTGGAGCCCGCTGCCTAAACCTGGCAGTCTCTGAAARTTCTTTATAAGGCTCCCAGCAAGTAACTCAACTCGCAGCTGCAGCCACTTGGCCTGCAAATCGAAACATCCACCTACTACACACATCCTATAAAATGCAAAAATAATGTTCATATATATGTTTTAAATAAAAAAAAAGCATATGCTTGTAACAAACTGTTCYATAAGAAAAAAAACGGGAAAAAAGTTGCTATAATTTCTGCAACAGGTGTCAAAAGATAAAAAGGCAGCAAATTAAAAATTTCATAATATTTTTGTCTTAAAAGGAAGCAGACTGAGAACAAATTAATTAGAACAGCAAACATACAGCGAGAGACAACCAAAAATGCAAAGTAACACAGAAATCAAAACACTGGAAGACTGAGATTATGAAGTTTAACATGATTATACATTAACAAATATGCCTGTAGATAGAAATACAGCCAAACTCAGAAAGACAGTAATCAAGAGAAGATTGTCTGGCAACACTAAAGATTAATTTTTTATTACTTCACACTTCATTTTTTCTTTTTCTTTTCACACAATCTTCATAGTTTCAAACTTAGAATCTTTTAAGATGTTAGCTTACCCTTATCCAAAAACTTATAATGATTGTGTAATACGGCTCAGTGTGATAAGTTCAGCATTTACCACCTTCCTTTCCATCTTTAACTCCAATACCAAAAGCACAAACCTATTTTTAAAAATGCCTAAAACCTTGTTCCGGTCTTCTTGTCCTCCAAGCATTGACTCATCGCCGCCAATCTGGGCCTTTTTGACCTCTACAACATGTACCATTGTTTTAAAATTCTATTTCTTTAATCCCTAGCTCTCCTGCCAATCTGAAAAAGAGACACTTCTCTTCCCCTTACAATTGGGGGTGCTTCAGAAATAAAATACTTGCACAAAGATGGAACTAACCCACTACATATGGGTTACATACCTTGTAAGCAAGAACTGTCCACTTCATAGTGACACTTGATATGCTCCAACTACTCAAAGTCATAAAACTGCACGGTATGGAAAGCCCAACAAACTGTTTAAAACTAGGATATTAAGCTCATATTACTTAAAATCAAACAGCTGGAAAATGAAATGTTTATGAAGTCTGCCTCAGAGAAACAGCAGAAAGGCCATTAGAGAAACTCTGTATGTTAATCTGTCAATATGTGCAGGATACTGAAGCTTCTCTAATCTAATCAGGGAAAGGCAATAGAGACTGTACAGAGAAGCTATTTACCTAATGCTTTCGACTAGATTATTGTTTGCCTCMTTTTTTTTCTGTGATGATCATCTTAAAATCGACATATTTAAAAGTGTCTCTTTTTCTRTTGGTACAGTTCTTCTGCTCTAAATTCTGAGAAACCAGATTATTTTCTTTCACAAAAATACGGCACATCATTTCTCTTCTGCTTTTCCCCCTATTTTTAAGATGCAATATCAAAGTTACATTTAAGTCTACCTAGAAACAAAGCAAAAWAAATAGACCAAGACAACCAGAAAAGTTGGAACAACCTGAACTCTCTGCAAACTGCCTTACAGTTTTTATTCTTTTGATGCAATGCACAACGGGGAAAAAAAAGAGCTGTTCGTTGAGCCATACAGCTCTCCAAGAATGATGTCTGAGCRACCTAGGCAAACCCAGATCTGCTTAGAAGATGACTTTGCTCCTTCGGGTCAGTTCCTCCTCTAACTGATATATCATGACGTTCCTGTAGTTCTGACCATTTCCATTTGTTGTGATTCTTCCAAAACACAGATCCATTGCAGGAGACTGAATAATCAGACTTTCTGCTCTGGAAGTCTGATAAACTCTGAAGAGGAGTCACCTTACAAGATTTAAGCGTTCATTATTTGATACTCATCAGATAAGATCATGAATTAAATTAGTGAACAACACATGCAGTTTGCATTACTGAATTATGGGGGGGGATTCTCTGCATGCCATATTTCTTGTCAAAATGAATTAAACTCTGACATATACCTGACACTCATGACTGTCATTTTCAGTAAAATGGGAATTAAAGGGATACTTTTTTCTACCTGCTCACAAGGTACCAGAGCTACTTCAGGAGTGCAGTAACAAGATGCATGGCKGCTGCTGCATTTCTATACTCTTATCCCAATCCCTGGCATCACAGTCCCACACTCCTCTCCTTTGCTAGCTGCATAGTATTCCCTGTTGTATCTTCTGCCAGCACTGTAGTTTGTGAAACCTGGAACAGAACCATTCCAGCTTACCCAGMTGCTGGAAAACTACTCAACTAAGGCAAGAAATGGGGGAGTCTGGCACTTAAGCCAGCTGAAATGGCTCAGTGCGAAGACAGAGGTGGCCGGAGCTGGAGGAGCTTTTCCCGTAGTTAGTGTTTGTTTGGCTTGACATGCAGGGAAATCACCAGGAATCATCAGAAACTGAGCCTGAAATACACTCTGACTTGCCCCCTGAGAGGGCAATTAGAATTAGGTGACTGAAGTCAAGCATTGCTCATGTTGAGCATTTTTAGAGGAGTCCTACTACCTACTASCTCAGATGGCTGGTTCACAATGATCTTCAGTTTAGCAGATTCAAAYAGCAGTACTTCATGCTAATAACATTTTCATCTTACCATGTACCTTAAATATTTCCTGCTGAATTCATGAACATGTATTTGTCCTTTTAATTGTGAGCAGAGTTTTCTATTTAGAGCTCTCATTGACACGATCAAACAATYCATTGACCATCTGTTCTTCCACATGCTTCCCTTAATAGCCCCTTCTTAACTCTTCTTTCACCTCTCAAATTGATTTTTCAGCATAGCCTCAGTAATTTCTGGATTTCCTCAAAAGCTGAGGAGGAGATAAGAGTACAAAGAGTTCTCTATCTTTTCTTCTTTTATGTCTGAATAATCTCTACATCTATGATTTACAGGTCTCTATTACAAAATCATCATCTGMATCTAAAAATCCTGTCCCAGACATTAAAAACAACTAGATATCACACTGCTGGTACAGAACCACTGATTTCCACATCACACAGCCTTTCTCAGACATTGTGGAAATAAACAGGGCACACAAAGTTGATAAATGAGTTAGAAAAATGTAGTAGTAAATATTAACCTCTAAAAGGCTCRCTTCCTGTAATTGTTATTAAAATAATTTAAAAATTCTAAGGGGACAAAATTTGTGACTGCTATTGCTTCTCAATCTAACAGCTCATTACTCCTAATTATTATCAGCTCTGTCATTGCTTATGACCAGGAAATTGGCTAATTGCTAGCAAAGGGACTGCTACCTTTTCTCCTTCTCTGCAGATCCGAGTTCTGCAAGTTTATCACACATGTAATGGCATCCAGATAACGTGACAGGAAACACCATCAGTAAAACTGATCTTAAAACCATTCCAGCAACAGAAGGACTGGACTGCCTTGGACAACCCGCTATACCTGAAACAAACGGCACCAGTGTGCCACAGGCTTAAGAGAATCATAGCTCACTTTCAGTTACAATTCAAAAAGRTTTGGTCCATAAAACTTCACTGTGTGATGCTAAGATAATATCTATTCTATCCTACACAGGACAACATCTTGAGATACCCAAGCTGCTGATCCCTTATGTTCATGACTGAGGGCAAGGATTTCAAAAAAGAGCGAGCTCCCCTCAAGTTCCCTACTCCCTCTGGATGGCAGAAAGAGGGACTTTGTCATCTTCTTGGTAGGAAGTGGATATTTTATTGAAGCTTTTCTTACAGCTACAAAGTGTGTCAGGCTTCAAGAGTAGCAGTTCTATAAAATTCTATCGTTTCATTAATTCTTAATATCATACTGTGTGTGACACTACAGTTATAACAGATAGGCTACATAAACTAAGAGATTGATCCTTTCTATTAAATAGCTAAAAAARCAAAGAACATAGCAAATTTTAAAARGTAAACACAAGTTTTTGATGAACTGAGATATATTTAAATGCTTTACTTAAATTTKGAATTTCTCTCTAAATCATCATCTACAATGGATCTGGCTTTGGTTTCTTTCATGTATGAATATTTGGGTTGTTTTAACAAGCATTTGTAGAAACAAAAAAACACTGAGGAAGAGAAAGGCTTATGCTGAGACATTGTTCCAGAAACGTTGAAGTGTCATTAAAAGACACTTCATTAAAGACTGGAAAGGGCTTTTGTTCTCTACCACAGCTCCAGTTTTAAAAGTGCTGCATTCTCAAGAGAAAGAATTGGTCAAAAGGACCATTAGACAAGATTCACTTGGGATATCTGACTGTATAAGATTATTATGATGTTAATATATGTATTATGTTTTCACATCTGTCTTTCGTATTTTCCTTCGTCCAGATACATTTCCATGGTAAAAAGATACATTCACGTACATTTAAATCTAAAAGGGGACAAGGGGAATACAATAATCTCAATGAGTATCCTAGGCACAAGTCAATGTTAGCAGGGTTTTTTAATATCTATAAAAGAAATCTCAGTCCTTTTGGAAATGTGTGAAGAGAGGCATGCTAAATCCCCTAGACTGAGACAAGAGACTAGGAAAATGGATTTATCTGTCAAAGTAACAGATTTGAGAAAAGGTAAGGACAACTTTGAAGGAAATGAGTTTACAAGCTTAAACTCAGCTATGGAAATAACAGCAAGCCTGAACAGCTCAGCTACAACACTTCATCTTTTCAGAAGGAAAACAAACAAACAAGCTATATTTTGAAGCTATTAAAGGTATTTCAACATTTCATGAGAAAGGAAAAAAAATTACTAATTCAAGTTATTAGTTTAAGTGYAGTTCCCAGCAGCATGTCAGTGCTAAGACTGAGAGGTAGAGAGGTATGTTGCAGTATCAGAACAGTATTATAATTCATTAGCTTCATTATGAAAAGCCAAGATGATGGCTCATGCACTTCCTGAAGCCCCAGAGAAGAAAACTATTTAATAATTGATTTCACATGGGATTCCAAAACTTTCAATGATGCATCTTTCACAAGTAATATCAAAAACTGAAGTGCAAGTTCACCTGAAAAGTGACTTGAAGTGTAAATTCACACCTGAAAACATATGATAGAATTGAATAAGATTATTTTTTCCACACTTCCTTTTCCCTTTCAGTAGTTTTTTTTTGGGRGGTTGTTTGTTTGTTTTGTTTTTTTCCTAACATTTCACTACAAATAGCAGACGGGATGATACATATCATCAAAGTCCTTCCACAGATTATTTTTTATTTTAGTGTACTTATTCATTTAAAATATCATATTACCAACTGCAAGCTATATATTCTAAATACATTTTTAATATTTCTACATTTTAATAGCAAGACAGTGATTTAAATGAAAAATAGTCTGTAAGTATAATGAAGTCAAATATTACATATAGTCCAATTTCAATAATTATTTTAATATATTCTGAAAATATATTTTAAAACATTAAATATATTAAACGAATATGTCTTTCAGTGTTTTAATTGTTCACTCTAAGAAAACTTTGTAATTTAGCAAATCAGCTTGTGTAATTGTGTACTTAAACTTACATTAACCAAACCAAAATAGTGCTCATTGACTGGAAATTGTTCCGGACCAATCTCTTTCTCCAAAGCTGAGGCATTGGCGCCCTAGAAAATTAAAAGCAATAAAGTATTAGTGTTACAGCTACGTGCACAGGGAGCTTAACTACTTGAGAAAGATAATTCTGAAAATTCTCCAGTGTGTAACCACTGCCGTAAGCAGCAACTCACACACAYCGCAGGAACACGCGACAATCACAGCTCGGAGGCTGGACGCAACAGACATCCAGGGCAAAGACACATTGCTCAAGAACCATCTATGTCTTCTGCAGTGTGTCCTGACACACAGCTGTGCATTTCACAATGTATTTCAATCCTAATCCTGACATTTGCATAATTTTCAAGTTGCCTGGTTCAAATGTCATTCTTCTCAAACAAGATGTTGTTTTAGTTTCTTTATTTTCTTTTACATATTGGAAAAAAAAGAATATTGGTCACAGATATAGAATTTGTTAACATCAGATCAGTGCTGTCAGATCTCGGCCTGTAAGACTTAGTGTTTATCAGTTAGGTTACTTCCTAACACTGAAGTAATTCCTCTAGTCAGCGGGGAGGAAAACAAAAACAAACCAGAAAGTAGAAGTTAAAAATGGATTAAACATATTCCCACTTGTATCCAGAAAAAAAGGAGAAATCGGAGTTTGTGTCCCAGCTCTATAATCATGCATGGCAAACTAACCAAATATATTTAGTTAGTCCTATTTCTTGAGGCAAAGACAAGTTCTTGCTTGAAAAACAGCCAAGGAACACAGGAAAAAAAAAAAGATTCTTCAAGTCCTCTGCTGATTTACACTCCCTAATTGCTTATATTGGYGGCAAAAACATGTCTAAAAGTAGACAGGTCACCAGCAAGTCTTAGATCTTCATAACACAGAGAAGAAACACACTTCCAACRTCAGCAACATAATCCAAAACCTCGTTGAGATTTTTTTCTAAGTACATGCTATTCAAAAACCACCTCAAAATAAATTACACCATTTTCACGTATATTCATGCAATTAATCAGTTTGGTGCTGCATGTATTATTTTCAGAACACAGTTCCTCGAGTAACATTTGCACTTACATAGTATTGCAAAGCAGGTGACACAAGGCCAAATTACGAGCTCCCCTCTACAATGAGGAGAGAAGCAGAGCAACATAATATTTTATCCAGGAACATAACATTTTAATCCAGCAACAGTTGCAAGAAAATCCTTTCGAAAAAATGCTTAAGTCCTTTTCATAAATTGATTATCGGCATAGCGTACACCGCTTTTATAAATAAGGTATTTAAATTCATTTGGGAAACTCTAGATACCTCATTTTTAGACTTGTTCTAGTAGGTGAAACAATATTTTGCTCAGAGGATAATAAATTGCTGCATTTAAGTTTCTCCTCAATCACTTGCTCTGAACACTGCCTTACCCAAAGGCAAATAACTGTGTATATAAAATACACACATTTTCACTCCGAAAAATTCAGAGAATAAAAAAAAAATTTTATGAGGTCTCACTGCTCACTAACTGCTTTTAGAAACAAGCAATTTTATCCAATCCTAAGTATGCTTTGTTGCATACAATACTCACTGCATACTACATACATATATACATCAATCAGTCTCAATACCCCACTCCATACACAAAGATATATATTCTCTATCAAGCTAATGAATGAGCATGAATATTCCAGTCTAAAGCCAGGTCTGCAGCATCTAAAATAGCCCACATTATACAGCAAAGAATCTCCAGAACACACAGGGCTCCTTCCCAAGGTCTTCATCCACACCAAATACATCACAAATGGCTCTGAGCATTAGCAGAATAAAGTTAAAAATCACAAAGTGAATTAAAAATAGCGTTCAGGGTTTTACAGATTAATTACAGACAGGAAGGCAGCAGAGCTAGGTTTGTGACTGTATCAATACAGTTTTAGCTCTAAGCATTTTATGTGATATCTACCATGATGTGATTGCAATACTGCAGAGCCACGACTGGCTACAGAACCCAGCTCGGTCCTTCTCAAGCTGGGAAGACCCTGCCAAGGGCCACAAGGAAACAACAGCTCTAACTAGAGCCAAAGACAACATAACTCTGCACTTCAGATGGCCACTACAGCTCCACTCACAACATGGGCCTGGCCACTTTCTCATCACTCACATTCCCTGTAGCTCCCCAGTCCCATGCAGCTTTTCTTTCAAGGGGAAATGGTCTCAGCACCTGCTACTTTAAAGCTGTTCTCAAATGACGAAGCTGGTGGTGGTGAAGAGCAAGATCTTGCAGAGCAAAGCATGCCATGACTGCCGAATATCTCATTTTCCAACCTTAAAACAAATCGTTTGAAAATTGAAAAACAGGCATAAACTCTGTCAAAGTTAATATTATTTACAAATAAAGTGGGGAAAAATAATAGTGTCCTATTGCTATAATCTTCAGTTCATTAAAATAAACTCAAAAGTAGGTTTGAGAAAATACATGCATATTAACATGTGATCCAGAAAAGCTTTTTAAAAGTTAACTAGCCTTCTCTAGGAAAGGATTTCCACTCTGTACTATAGTACATTTTAGTACCTTTGTACCATAGTACATATAGTACCTTTGAATCCTCCATTCTGCAAACCTGTAAAGGAGGTACTGAGATACACCAGCTATCACAGCACCGTTTGATTTGCATCTTTGAGGCCAAGGATCAGCAATGGCTTGACGTAGAAGCAGCCTTATCTCCTGCCAGCCACGATGGATCTGCTGGGCTTGGAAACTGGATTTGGGAGACTTCATCAGTCTGTGATGCACACTGCAGCGTGCACAAGTACTTCCCTGGCAATTCAGATGTTGGAAGATCCCAGAAAGATCCTCTACTCCTCTGAGGCCCAATGAGTGACCTAAGCACTTGGTGCTCAGTCCCCACTTTGGGCTTGTGCAGTGCAGAGAAGGGAACATCATGAGCTCTGGCTCATGAATCCCACCTCCAGGTTCTCTGCCTTCCAAAGTGGGAGCACAGGGACCATGCAGACTGTTTACTCCAAAATTTTGGCAATGAAAGGGAGCAGAGGAACAACAGAGATCAAACAAAAGCTAATATTTACCTATATACACTGCATTACACTACTCTCCTTCCAGCCCAGAGATAATTATCCTGGCTACAMAACGTGTATTTATAACAGCTAACACAATATAGCTTTACAAAGTGAAGAGAAAATTTCAACAACTAAGGTGTGTAAGAAGAAACATAATATGCAATCTCATAACACATCTAGTTTGGCATTTACAGCAGACACTGGAAAAGGGAATAATGCCACAACATAAATTTCATTTGGTTTGGAGTGCGTGTTCCAGCACACGTACAGCACATGGAAAACAACACTAAAACAATGTATGAAAAGATCACAATGCTGATTATGACTTACTAAACAGATTATTTCAATACTGAAAAAAAATACAAAGCTAATTCCATAAAGAAAAAATTTCAAATTCTCTAAATACTTGATGAATCTAGGGTAATTTATCCTTAAAATTATCAAGTTACAGAACTGTAAAATAATATTTGTAAAACTGACACTCATACAAAGCTAAACTATTCTGTCCTAGATGCTACACATGATGCTATGAGTTTTAAAAGTGTCAAAAATGACCATTTTGTTCATAATCTTAGCATATTAGTCTTGGACAGATTTCAAGATATGCCTGTCACAAAACATTATGAGTGCAAAATCAAATTTATAATTATTTATAATTTGTAAAAATAAGTTTCACCAATATAAGCATTCATTTTTCTTTTTTCTCTGGCCACATATTAAAAGACTCTTCCCTATCAGTGCTTCTAGAGATGTACAGATGTCCACAGTCTATTCTAAGTAATGCACAATGATGTGGCCGATGARGTTTTCTATTAAAGAATTTTTTATTCTAGTTATGTTTAATCAGAATGTGTAAGTTCATTTGCCCCTATATTTATATAATCAGGACTAAGAACAAATAATATACCTATATTAAATCAGTTTGTATTTGTTAGTTCAACAGAAACCAATACAGAAAAGTGTTTCTTRAAGATGCATTTCTTGCCCAGGAAGCAAAAATGAAGTACGTTGCATAAGCTTCAGTAATCCTTGCTGTCCGTTTATTTGGGAGGAAAAATAAATAAATAAAGCTTTATTGCTTTAGGAACACCCAACCTGACAGASTTAACTATGAAATACTTGGATTGTTTAAAAACATTCATTTAACGTACTTTAAAAGTGGTATCTTCTTAACTGAACGGTTAAGACATTGTTTTATGTATCCCAATCACAGGCAACTAAGACATTATTTTTATGGAGTACAAAGTGCTCTAGGGGCTCGAGCAAGGGGGCTGGACTAGATGATCTCTAGAGGTCCCTTCCAACCTCAACCACTCTGTGAAAGYAAAAGAGAAAATGCTTGGTGGAACAAGGAAGATGTCAGTATGGCCTAAAACTACATTCCCTTCAAATCAATGGCCTAAAACTACATTCCCTTCAAATCTGGAGCACCCACCACACCTGTGCTTTTGAGCCTGACTGAACACACACACACACACACACACACACAAAGTATTTTCGTTCATACAGCTGGACACTCACATTTCCTCCAGAGAAGAGCAGTGTGAACGCTAAAGTCACAGCTAAGCTACTCTCACCTGAAGCCAGGACTCCCAAGAATTAGAACTCTGGACTATCCTCAATGTAAAAGAAAGTCAATTGCACCGCTAAGAATAATAACACTTATTTTATGTCAGTATTTTATCTTCTATTTTTCCAAAAACCTCCTAGGGTTACAATGTTTCTCATATCAGATGTGTTTGCTTTATGTTCCTCCAACTAGATGGACTTTGGCAGTTTCAATGCAAAACATTTCATTATGACACTACTAAACAGGTTCTCAAAGAATGAAAACAATTACTTTTGTAGATTTTTAGTTAAAAGTTGAATTAAAATAACCAACAATATAGGAAATCTATGAAAAGTACTTAAGAAGATCAAAAACTTTCATCAACTAAAAATATGTATAGGCAGCTTGAAGGATTATACTCACTTCCTAGAAAAGAGACTTGATCACGCAAAATATTGTGCTTAAAAAAACCACATTATTTCAGATTGTTTCATTTATGAGCTGCACACTATGCTGCATTTCATGTATCCTTTTAAAAACTGAATTTAATCTATGTAATTCCTATTTGATAAAAACAAAATGTTGCTTTTATAAATCACAAAGCACAGGTATCACAATCATTAAATATGTTTAGTTATAAAAAGTGGTAAAAGTGTTTTTGAATTCAGGTACACTTCTGTTGATATATAGTTCTGATAACATCAATTTAAAAAATAATCTATTTTTTCTTAGACTGAATAGATAGAATATCTGTCCTTTATAAAGGATAGATAGAACAAGGCCCTTATTCAAAAGGTATCATTTGTTAAACACATTTAACCCATAAACTTCCTAAGCTAGCAGTGGAAATGTTATCAATCCAAGGCTCCTCTTTTCTTCAAAGAATTTAAAAAAGTACATAGAAGTACACAACAAATTAACAGATTTATGTTTTAAATACATTTTTATAGAATCACCACTACAAGTTTTAACACAAATCGGTTGCTTCACTAGTTTAAAGAGTAAATACACATAAAGACTAAATACTTATTCAGGATTTGTGTATTAAAAGGATCAACTAATGTCAGTGAAGCACCTAAAAATTCTCACTGTTGGCAAGATTAGAGTTTGTGTTTCATGATCTTTTCATGCTCAAAATGAGTATGTGTATACATACAGGTATAAAAAGAAAAAAGGCATTTGTATAATTTAAGTTATTCTACCAAAATGCCAACTAGGTAAATTCTCTATGTTCTATGGTATAAATATTGCTTTAGAACTACACAGCATCAGGATTTTTCTTCCAAAATGTCTGATATTTGGCACTTTTATATTAGTTTGGAGAGTCACATTTCTATTTCGAAGTACCCTAAAACAAATTTACAAAAACTAAACCAAATTCTTYAGAGTATGACAAACTCATATTTTAAAGAGCAAATGTACAGACTGAGTCCATTATCATACTGTAACAGTCACATCTGTGAAAGCAAAGGAGGCAAACGGCACAACCTTGCCTTGCATCTTAGTGCCATATTCACCATGGGCAATTCTCCTGGTTACAGCTCCTAAAAAATGAAACTCCCTGTAGTGGTTTAAGAACTTACCCCAGATGCCTAACAGAAACCTCCCCCAAATTCAATGCACTTGTAACAGAATCATCACTCTACACCTTTATTGTGGTGCAGTTACAAGTACAGTTACAAGTTACAAGCTTAATAAGTTAGTGAGGATATAAGTATAAGCCTTTCTTGCAATTAGGCATTTTTATAAAATTTCTCTCCTAGGATGTTTGGGCTAGATAACAGCGTGCCCTGCAATGTTACCCCAGTTGTGCATTTACAGGTTCCTCTTATCAACTTTATTCTCTCACATTCTTACAGGAAGCTAAGAATTTTTGAGATTAAGGATTTTCAACATTGCCAAACGTGACTGAAATTGTGGCTTGTTCTTTAAGAGCAAAAAGGGAGTGATATTGAAAGGCTGGCTATTGACCTTTTCCTGCCAGTTTCTCTATCCCATTGGTACCCATTTTGCCTAAAACCCCACATTTGGATCTAAGATATGCATAAACTTCTGAGACGGGAGCCAGTCACATTATAGAACACATCTCTAAACTACAACTGTGMGTTTGATGTCAGTTTTCAGTGTCTGAATTAATCACTGGAAACATTCTCTGGCACTTCAAAACCAAGTATACTGGCCCCATATATAAGATACTGGGCTGTCAAAGAGGATGGAACACATAGACAAATACGTGAAAAATGAAGAGAAAGATTTTCATGTCTAATGCCACATATTATAGATTAGCATTTTCTTATGCTTTAAAATTTTTCAGATTGTGCTAACATAATTAATCTGTTTCTACAGAAATTTCCACTTAAAGAAATTTCTGCTGAAAAACAAGTATTACTACTACAACTTTCTTTTGTGCATCTGACATTCAGATTTTTTTTAAGCTACAAAGATCATTTCTACTCTTTACTTCAAAAGACTTGATACCTTCAGGCTTCTAACAAGTGTTTGCTGGATTCTAGACAGCAGACGGAAGTAAGAAATACTCGATTCAATCTCTGTTTTATGATGGATATAGATTGGGACACATCTTCACAGCAATTAACATTGGTTACTTTGCTATTTCCTAACCAGGCATAAAACCCCCATATAGTTCAGCCAAGTAAGACTTCTACTACAGTTTAACACGTCGGTAAGGGTAAAAGGACAAATTTGCTTCAGGGCTTGAACAGARAGGAGAAGATACATAAAACATTAGTTAGTCAGAAGTAGAACTTGAATTTGGATACAAAAAACAAAGTCATGAAATGCAGGCCTGAGGTGGAAGAGCTTCTTCAACACACACAGTTCCCAAACAGCTGTTTTACAGATCATGTGTGCATATGTTAGGTTTGTGTCAGCACAAATCATGTCCAGATAAAAACAGCCTGTTACTGGTGCAGGCTTAGTACAAAACCAAAAGAGAAGCAAAAACTTGAGAGCTCTTGCAAGAGGCACAGGGAAAAGGTGGGAAAAACCTTGTGAGAAATTTCAGAAAGTTACTTGGAAGTTTATTTAACGGTGTCAGAACGGATTTAACGGATTGACACAAAGAAAAACTGCCAGAGAAAAAATATATATTTATATTCATTTTCCTCAGAAACAACATGCTTTAACATATGCCTGTTAAAACTAAAAAAAAAAATCTGCCCGACTCACCCTAAGCATACTGTTCTAAACAACTTCAGTCTAAAGAGCAAGTCCTTTTTAATACTATCCTTGCTGATTTGTTCATTCATTTTTTAAGTACAATCTTACACTATCTATTAAGTATTTTTAAGGTTGTACTCCGAGCATCCCTTGCTGGCTGTCTCATCACGCACCACTATTAGAGCTCAAGCAGCAGAAAGGCCTGAGAAAAATCTTCTCCTCAGTGTTCCTCACCTCGAGGCCCATGATTACAATTGGACAGATAATATCTAAGTGCTATCAGAGTTACAGTTTCAGGTTACAGACACTTTAGTTAATAGCAAGAAGATTTTTTTGTTAAAAAAAAAAAAAAAAAAAAAGAACATTTATGGATTGTCTAAGGAGCTTTATGTCAGTTCTAATAATCCTCCATACAGGATAAGCTGAAGACAGCAGGTTGGCCGATCCAGACCTGTAATTTCCAAACTACCTGTAAGAAAAGCGAAGCCCCACACTAGACTTGACTCAAGGAAYCAGCACGGAAATTGCATCGCCAACAAAGATGATGGCCAACTGTGGGTGGAAAAATGTTAGCAAAGACTGCAGCAAAACGGGACTGCTCCATTCCACAAAATTCCCAGTCACACCAGCTCCTCAACAGCCTCACCTAAAATCCAACTGCTTCAGAGAACGAGCACTCTTGACACGTAGGTACAGAATTTGGTCACATAAGTATCATAGCACAGAGTCACGAGCACAAAAAGCTCGACCCTTCAAGCTCRATTGAAAAGATGTGACCTCTTGTATCACACACAAAGTCTACAGCTGAACTGACTGACTGACTTTCATTTAAAATACTGTTGGGTCACGGTTGAAATGTCTGTTTGAGCTGCTAAAGTGTCTTGTCACTATGATTTCTGAGAAGTGGAGCACTTGCCAGTAAGCACGTAAGTATTTCCCACTGTTTGACATTAATGTATGCTATAATTTCTAGTTAGCAAAGTAACAAACTGGATGACTGAGTACATTTTCTTTTCCACCCTTAACTACCTCTCCTCTTCCTCCTCCTYCTGTGGCGGCAGATTAGGGAACCAGAATTTTAATTTATTCAAGAACAGGTAGAAAAGGGCACGGATGCAAGACCTTCGACTACGACCCATCAACACACCTCACCCACGAGGAGTGGAAATTACCTACAGCAGATGTAAGGGTTTAAATTCTGCCTTCCTACATCTGTGAATCTAGTCAGCTCCCCATGCCTCTTAGAGGGAAAAAAAAAGGGGGGGGGGGTTAGAAGCCACCGTGGGAGCCTCACTGCAGCTGTGCATGTGCTTAGAGCTCTAATTTATCAGGAGRGCGCGTAATGAAAAGCAATCAGTGGAGCAGGTCCCCTATCAGGGCCCGGATCGCTGCGGACACTTCAAATTACCTGGCGCTCACGCGCGGCGCGGGCGCTTTTCCGGGTAACCGGAGACGCCGCCGTGCGGGGCAATCAGCGCCCCGCCACAGCGGGAGGCGCCGCACGAGCGACGGCGGCTGCGGGGCTCGGGAAACCCGCTCCCAGGAACGTGCGTGCGCCAAGGAGCGCCGCGCTCCGCGCGCCCCGCACACGGGGGAAGCGCTGCGCTCACGAGCCGGGCTCCCACGCCACGGGTGTCCGCGGTGCCGGTGTCCGCGGTGCCGCCCCGTCCCGCCGCCCCGCGGGCGCTCCCCCCGCGCTCACCATGGTACAGATGGAGGCGATTTTGGAGACTGTCATGAGGATTTCCATCCGCCCAGCGCCATCTTCCGCCCAATCGCCGCGCCGGGCCGAGCGCGGCCGGGCCGGGCCGGGCCGGGCGGGAGCAGCGGCAGGAGGAGGGCGAGGCGAAGCAGGCGACGGGGGCAGCCCGCGCCGCCCCCGCCAGCGCCGGCCACGCGCTGCCCAACGGCGCCCAGAGAGCGCCCGACCCGCAGCCCGGCGGGCGCCCGCGGCCACCCCCTCCCGCCGCTCCCCTGCGGCGCGGGCCCCGCCTCCCCCTCCGCCCGCGGCGCGCCTGCGCGGCTGGGGGCGGGGCCCCAACCGTTCCAACCGCTTTCCGCGTGCGGCAGGGCGGGGCGCGGGGGGACCCGCCGGGACGGGAGGCGGCGGGAGCCGCCTTGGGCTGAGGGTTGAGTCCCCGCCAGGCACGGGGAGAGTTGCCCGGAGGGTGGGAGGACGAACAGACACTGTGTATGGCCAAGCAGCAAAGGCAAATTAAAATCAAGAAGAAGATGTTTGTTTCTTGTCAGCCTTAGTCAGGGGAATGCCAAGCTGACTCCAAATTGACTTCCGACATGTAGCTAGCAATGATCTTGTCCAAGCCTTTCCTCTGGGATCTCTCACAGAAAAGGGGGGTGCAGAGGAGTCTAAATCGCCTTTTTCTTCCCTTTTCCTCCCTTCCCTTCTGCTCCTCATTACCAGCTCTCTGGGTTCAGTGGGTTTGGGATTAACCTGCCCCAACCTCAGGCATCTCCAGAGAAAAAGCTGATCTGTGAGGCTCTCATCTGACCCTCGTCTAAGACACTTAAGGTGWCAACTCTCAAATGAGACAAATTGCCTCCTACGTGTCCCTGTTTCTGTCTGCAGACTAATGGAAATTGGGATGTCCGTATCGGATCATTACAAGAATCTGCATTACAAGAATCTAAAAAAAAAGTTGGCAATATCCAACCTTTCTAAATATTCGGGGAATATTTAGCAGATTGAGATATATTATTCTGAAGAAAAAGGTATAGCCACATAAGGCATGTATCATGAAGACATCCTTTCCCTGTGAAAAATGTGCTTAATACCTATAAAATTATATAGTTTTTATGACTTTCATAAGTAAACAGTCTTTAAAAATGCTTACGACTGTATTAATGGAAATGCAGAATAACAGTTTTCCTTCAGCTAAAATTGGATTTGACTGTAAAAAGTTTTATAACTGSATTCTTTATTGAGCCTGAAATATACTCCAGCAATCTTTTATATCTGTGGTCTAGAAGTGCACATTTCAAAAGCATAGTATTTGAGAAAATTAATGCCTCTTGGATGACTATACTCAGAAACTGTTGCCACAGAAACCATGGGGGAGGACAGCATCAAGGGAAGAAGAAAGAAAAGAAACAAAAGAAGTGGATTGACCATTTATGAGCAAAAAAGGGGAAAAAAAGAAARAGGAAAAATGAAGGACATTTGTCCTGCTAGAGGTGTCATGACATCAGATGTTGAGCAATTTCTCTGCTGCAGTATGCGAATGACGTGCGATTCCTTGCAGTATTAATCAGGCGTGCTACAAGAGAGAGCCCTGTATCACCCAGAGTGGACAAAATATTCARAAGATGACACGAGAAAGATGTGACAACAAGCCATCTTCCGTGAGCAAAGACACAAAACACTATTGGACGATTTTATGCAATTATCAGAAACGTAATTCAGCTCGGAACTGATTATATGGCACCAAGTAGGATTGTAGAGGTCACAGAAAACTGCAGGACTCTTGAACAGCCCTCAGAGGGAAAGTCTGAGATTGTCCTTACGCTCCTTCCTGTCCAAGAGGATGGAATACGCTGCGTAGGAACTGTGCTGTCTGCAGGGCCAACGGACAGTTTGGGTCTACACCTAATATTGGAACCAATATTGGAATATTGGGCCGTATTTCAGAAAGAGCAGGCGGTGTATGACTATGCTAGCTTGCTTCTGACAGGTATGGGGGCTAATCACATGGGGAGTCCAAGCAGAGGAGCTGGGAAGATGTTAAATTAGTAACAAGGAGCTTGATTAAAAAAAAAAAAAAAAACAGTGCTGTGTAAACTGAGATGCTGTGCCACAAATAAACTGAGCTCATGCTTCATAGATGGGGGAAATGCTGAAATCGTTTCTCTACTTTTGACTATTAAAAGGACATAAAATATGAGGAAACAAGAGAACTGGAAATTCCCGTTTAATTCTCATCATCMAGCCCCTTTAGGTGACTGAAATCGAATTCAATATTTTGATTGTTTGACCTGCTGAGATAAAAATAGAGTGTGTAGACTAGGAATGCTGTGTGTGTGTGTGCTTGAGGAGATACTGCCTTAAAAACAGCTTGTTATGGAGTTACTATAAAGTATATATATAAACCAGTATGCTAACTAGTCCCATGTGAGTAAAATATCAGTGATATCTTGTATCAGTGGTGAGAGACAAAATCCAGGTGACAAAGTGGGATCTTTGCCAATTGGCTGGCTAACTTGATGTGGATATAAAGTAGGAAGAACAGGAGAGGTAGATCGTGACCCACAGTTAAATGCGGAACAGTGTCTAGGAGTGGTAGGGCACTGAGGAAGGAGGAAGCATGGATGGATGCTGGGCTTTAGGGGAGCAGGCTTATTCAGGGATCTTCCTGCTAGGTAGGATCTTCTGAGCAGCAGCTCTGGGGCATAAAAGAGCTCAGGAATGCTCAAGGAAAGCCCAAGGACGGTGCATCCTAGGATGCAGGGAAACAAGTAGATGTATCAGGAGACTACCTTGTCTATACAGAGAATTTATGACTGAGCTCCAGTAGGGGAAAAAAAAAAAAAAAAAAAAAAAAAAAAGGCAGTTCTTACAGGATCAAGGAAGCAAGGATATGTTGCGAAAGAGGAATTTAGAAACCTTGTCTGGGCATGTGGGGATGGTGTTAGGAAAGGCAAAGTACACCTAGAACTGATGCAAGAGTCATCAAAAAGAAGAGTTTTTGCTGCCATTTCAGTAGTAAAAAATGAATAAAGAGAATGTGGACCAATTGCTGGGTGGGTGCTTTAGTGAGGCATTTGCAAATAATGCTGAGGTATTCTGTAGCTTCTTCACTTCAGTCTTCATCAGTAACTTCTCCCAGGACTACACTTAAAGGCAGGATTCAGAGAAAACAACTAGCAGCAGTGGGTGAGGATCAAGGCAGGAATTACTTGAGAAATCAGGGCTTTCCATGAAAATGGGTGGGCTCCATCCAAGAGCACTGAGAGAGATGCTTGATATCTTTGCAAGGCTACTCTCTATCACCTTTGATATGTCATGGAGAGTAGAGTACTCTGTTGGCTAGAGACCTCACTGGAGTTCCCCAGTGATTGGAGAAAGGCAGTTGTTTTGTCYCTCTGAAATAAAATAAAATAAAAAATAAAATAAGGCCAATAAAAAGATCATTCAAAAAGATGACTGAGAACTATGGGTTGATCAGCTTCACTTCAGTCCATGGGAAAATCATGGAGTGGGTCCTCTGGGAACACATTYCTAGGCACATGAAGGAGAAGATTGTAACTGGAGTGCAATGGGAATCTTTAGAAATTCAAGACAGATAAATGCAAACTTCTGCTCCTGGGAAGGAAGGACTCCTGGCACCAGTACTGACGGGACAGCCTGTTTGGGGAGCAACTCCATGGAAAAGGCCCTCTGGGTTGATGGGCAGCACGAACCAAAAGCGTGTGCTGGCAGCTAGAAAGGCAAAGAACTGGAAGCAGCTGGGAGGAGGTGATKGTCCCTCTTTACTCAGCACTCATTAGATCACATATAGATTGATATGYGCAGTTCAGAGACCTGCAGTACAAGACAAATGTAGATGAACTGCAACAAATTCATCACTAAGATGATCACAGGCTGAAGCACTAGGCTTGCTCAGCTTAGAAAAGAGAAGATTTTGGCAGGACTTCATAGAAGCCTAAAAGTTGGAGTCAGGCTTTCCACAGGGGTGCATGGGTGTGAGGATGAAAAACAAGGGACTCAGCTGAAACAAGAGACTTTCCAACTGGATATAAGCAGAAACTTCCTCAAGATACAGCCTGTCAGGTATTGGAAGAGGTTACACAGGGTGGTTGTCCAATCTAATCCTGAGCAACCTGGACTAACAACTCCCTGAAGTCCCTTTTGACCTGAAGGACTCTGCCTTTCTGTGATTCTAAGAGAGACATCACCAAATGTCCTTAAGGAATAATTTACTCCTTTTTGATATCCCCTTTTTACTACTTTTTTCTAAAGTGTCAAAATATCAATCATAATTGGAGAACATCCACTTTGAAGACATGCTGGGGATCCTATAAGGCAAGTAGTAAATTATCTTTGGAATTTATAGAAATTATAGTTGGTAAGTGATTAATACATAACATTATTATTATTATTATTATTATTATTATTATTATTATTATTATTATTATTAAATGTAGATGGTAAGCTGTTAAATAATGATCTAGAAAAGAAGTTTTCAGTGCATGTTTCTATCCAGTATCTGGAAACAAGTAAGTCTGTATTTGTTCTCTATATACCATTAGGAAACAATAAAAGCATCCATAAGGATAACTAGGATAAAAACCTTGAAGTTATTATTCTAAACATTAAGAAAAGCTCTTGATGGATTAGCTCTAGATTAGATGCCAGTCAATATTGTCAGTGAGTTGAAAGCAAAATTTGTGTTCTGTGAAGAAGAGAAAAAGAGAGGCTAAAGGGGAAATTAAATTAAGGACACAGTTGTCATAAGGATCCGTATTGCTTGGTAAATCTATCTCATTCGAATACAGTGTGTTTTAATGTAGGCATAAGTATAGAATATATTACATATATATATATACTTAAGAATATAGTGTGCAGGCAATGAGGCGCTATATTGTGGAGTATGGTGATGGAAAAGAAAAAAATAAGAATTTCCAATCTAATGTTATTGTATAAACGACATCTGAGACAATAACCAGGGACACGGCAAGCAGAAAGAGTGACATTATTTCACCTCTCTATGGCATTGGTGAGATTTCTCTGGTAAT